CCCCAAAACCCCAAAACCCCAAAACCCCAAAACCCCAAAGATCTTGTATACCTCCAAATCAAGGAATCAATGATATTTCAAGTGATTTCTAAGTATTAATGATATTAGAATACTTTGTTTTAATAAGATTAGATTACACATATCTTTAATAGATTTGCGATGGAAAATACTACTCCTTTAGAAATCCTAAAACTAGACGGTGAACTAGGTTAAGTTTATCAAGGAATTTTAGAAGCTTGTAAAGAAATTGCTGAGCATCTCCGCTACTCAACCAGCAACAAAATCTAAACAACAAATGACTTTGGTGATGTTCAACTTGATTAAGATGTCTAGACAGACTCCTTGATCTTTGAGGCTCTAAAAAATACTGGCATGGTATACGCAGGTTTATCAGAAGAGAGAAGCTATGTCACTTAACTTGATGATAATGGAAAGTATATAGTCACCTTTGATCCACTTGATGGTTCTAGTATCATTGACACTAACTTCACTATTGGTTCCATCTTCGCCATTTGGCCCAAAGGAGATTTGAATGAAATGACTGGCAGAAAAATCGTTGGAGCAGCTCTGGCACTCTATGGCTCAAGAACTAACATCCTTATTTACAATCCAGATACGGAGTAAGTTGATGAAGCGACTCTTTAAAAGACTGGTGAAAATGAACTATAATGGGTTATTTCACAAAAGAACATAAGAATCAGAACTGATGGCAGGTACTTCTCACCGGGAAACACCAGATCGATATAATACAACAAGGGGTACAGAGATTGCATTTAATTCTGGTCAAGAAATGGGTATATTCTACGTTACTCAGGAGGAATGGCTCCAGATTGCTATCACATCTTTAAGAAAGGAGAGGGAGTTTTTTCTTCGGTCAGTGGAGAGCCAAAAGTGACTCCTAAATTGAGACTTTTGTACGAATGTGCACCTATCAGCTATCTTTGTGAAAAAGCTGGAGGTCTGTCAAGTGATGGAACTTAATCGGTCCTTGACATTCAAGTTAAAGGTTACACCTAGAAGTGTGATATCATTATAGGTTCTAGAGAGGAAGTTGAAAGAGTTGAGAGATTTTTACAAAATGGAAAATCTCAATAATGAAGAAGCAAGTATGATACAACTTTGGATTGAAATTGATATTAAATGAACAAAACTTAAGCTATTACATATTAATCATTCACAAATACGTCATTTTCATCTCCTACGGGGTTTTGGGGTTTTGGGGTTTTGGGG